TGACCACCGCCGTTCATTCATTCATTGTTCCGTGGGTGGGCACTGGAGTAGTTTCCACAGCTGCTGTGGGCATTCTAGCGTGTCTCCTGGCGAAGTCGTGAATGCATTTCTGCTGTCTGAGTAACTAGAAGTGGGGGACACGGGGTTTGCGGGTGTCCAGCGTCAGGGCGTACTCTAAACCTCTTTAAAGGCATTTTTCACAGTCCGTATTATTCTCATCTTAATTTACGTTATTAGATTAGAAGTGGTTTTCAATTGAATACTGCTTATGCCCTGCCTCACTTTCAAATGAATGGTCTCCCATATAACATGAGATAGAAAACTGAAGTGAGAAAGCAGAAAGGAAAACAAGGTGGTGGTGGTGGTGGGGGAGATAAAGTGAAATGTAATGATCTTTACACCAAGGGTCTCAGGTGTTTTTTTTACACCAAGGGTCTCAGGTGTTTTTTTTAAGAAGCTGGCTGCATATGGGGTTGAGCTTCCCATCAGCCAATACAAAGAGGGAAACAGTGACACCAATCAATGCTCACTGGACAGATGTAGCAAATGTTCAGCAGCGTGGCTACTTTTGGTTCTGAGATTTAAGAAATGCCACCCCACCTGGCCAGTGTGGCTCAGTTGGCTGAGTATTATCCTGTGCAGCAAGGGTCAAAGGTTTGACTCCTGTTCGGGGGCACATGCCCAGTTGCAGGCTCTATTCTCAGCGTGGGGCACACAGGAGGCAATCAATGTTTCTCCCCCACACACTCCCCCCCCCCTCTCCTCTCACTCTCTTTAAAAATTAATGAAAAATCCTACCTAAAGAGAGGGAATATACTAATTGACTGTCACACCATCAAAGATAGGAGTGCCCAGTCCCCTCAGTACCTCCCTATGGCGGCAGGCACACAGCATGATCGGGCCCGCCCCCAGACAGGTCCGGCTGCTCCATGTGCCTGCCTCTGGAGTCCCCCAGTCCCCTCATACCCCCAGCCCCTCAGGGCTGGCCCAAGGACAGGCAAAACTCGGATGTCAGCTGCCCAGCCATCCAAGGCCTCCCGAGGCTCAGGTAACCAGGGCTGGCCAAGGCTTGCACTACCGGCAATGGCAGCAGCAGAGGGTGACGGGGCGTCACCTTTCCCTGATCATGAGGTCGCCTTCCACACCTGAGGGCTCCTGGACTGTGAGAGGGGCAGGCTGGGCTGAGGGACATCTCCTCCAGTGATGAGTTTTTATGCACTGGGCCTCTAGTTAATAATAAAAAATGAGCCAAAACATGTTTAGCTCAGTGGACAAAGCATCAGCCTTCGGACTGAAAGGTCCCAGTTTGATTCCGGTCAGGGGCATGTACCTTGGTTTCGGGCACATCCCCAGTGGGGGGTGGGGAGTGGAGGGGGCATGCAGGAGGCAGATGATTGATGTTTCTAACTATCTCTTTCCCTTCCTCTCTGTAAAAAAACCAAAAAAATATATATATTTAAAAAAATAAATAATAATAAAAACAAAATGTCACCCCAAGGCTTTCTAAAGAGGATATTGTTGGCCTGGCTGGTGTGGTTCATTGGTTGAAGCTCAACCACTGAAGCTCAACCAGGTCAGGGTTCATTTCCCAGTCAGGGCACATTGCCTGAGTTTCAGGCTCCATCCCCAGTAAGGGTGTGCAGAAGGCAGCTGATCAATGATCCTCTCTCATCGTTTCTAGCCCTCTCTCCCTTCCTCTCTGAAATCAATATAAACATTAAAAAAAGAGGATTTTGCCCTAACTGGTTTGGCTCAGTGGATAGATCAACCTGCGGACTGGAAGGTCAAGGACATGTACCTTGGTTGCGGCACATCCCCAGGTGTGCAGGAGGCAGCTGATCGATGTTTCTCTCTCATCAATGTTCATAACTCTCTATACCTCTCCCTTCCTCTCTGTAAAAAAAATCAATTTTATATATATTTAAAAAGAGGATATTGTTGGACATCAAAAATATAGGACCAACTTCATTTCAGAAATAACAATAGTCAGTGTCTCCCCTTCCTTGATAATCTCCCTTAATATGGGCATGCCAAAGCACAGTTCACCATAAGCAACAATTAGGGAACTAATGCAACCAGATACACAATTCTCAAGAGCTCTCAGTATAACCATGGGGAGCTGAAGGGAGGGGCGGGGAGTAGAATCAGTGTGGTCCAGGAACCTGAGGGTCTCTGAGACATTTATAGAGGCTCTGTATGGCCAATACTATTTGTACAAGGCCACGAAAGCATTTACCTTTTTTTACTCTCATCTTCTTATGAGTGTGTACAGTGGAGTTTTTCAGAGGCAACATGACATGTGATACAGCAACAAATCGAATGCAGAAGCCGATTTGAGAATCTAGCTGTCTTCTATTAAGCTGGACATTAATTAGCAAATTATTTTGTCTTGGGAAATAATTTTTTTACACAAATATATGTCATACTAACCTAATGAGTTTGTTATTGATATTTTTAAAATTTGTTTTACTTCTTAATACAGTATCTATTGATATAACCCATATAAAGAGAAACACTTTGGAGTTCTCAAAAGTCTTTAAGAGTGTTAAAGGGTCCCGAGACCCAAACATTGGAGAAGCACCGGAAGATTTCCCCAAAAGGATGTTGACAGTCACTAATCCCAGAAGATAATTCGTGAAAGATGTTCTGTGATCAAATACATCTGGGAAATGTTATGCGTCTCTCAAAAATCACCAAATTAGAAGTAGTTAATTAACTTTAACTGTTTCCTAAATGTATTTGACTAAGATCCCCTCTTTCCAGTGCTTTCCTCAGCAGCCAGGAGGCACACCTGGGATGAATGAACTGCAAATGCAAATCCCTGTCAATCCTCTTGAGTAGCATCTCTTACAACCAGCCTTTGTCAAATGTGGGCAGGAAAGTGTAATATCATGTTACCCCTCTGACAAGAGGAAGAGTGATCCTCTTATAAACATCAAAGCCACTGAGCAGAACAAGAGAGCCCCCTTTATCTCGGGGAAGAGGTGAACCAAGGGCAGGGTCAAGGCCAGGACAAAGATCCCACTCAGGAGACTAAACTGAGTCTGTTTCATCTGACAAACTGGCAACCCAGGCCCCAGAGTTCTCTGAGACAGTCATCTCAGCCTGGGTATCACCCAAAGCAGATGCTACACGCGCTGCTTGCCTCACTCATAATGTCAATTAAGCACCCACAGAACACTGGACTTTTATGTTATACAACTTCCTGGTGGCCCCGCCAAGGAAAAGAGGGGTCAAATTGTACTTCGAATGAGCCAACTTCTTTTATGGTGTTAACTATAAGTCAATTAAATGTTAAGAGAATCCTACCAAAAATTATGACTTTGGTTTTGGAATAATCCTATTTCTTTTCTTTTTAAATCTTTATTGTTCAAAGTGTTACATATGTCCCCCTTTGACCTCTTCTAGCCCATCACACCCCCTCACCCCAGCCCTTCACCACCCTATGTCTGAGTCCATGGGTTATGTATTTAAGTTCTTTGATTGAACTCTTCCTACCTTCCCTCTGAGGTTCGACAATCTGTTCCATGCTTCTATGCCTCTGGATCTATTTTGTTCATCAGTTTATTTTGTTCATTAGATTCCGAATATGAGTGAGATAATGAGATACTTTATCTTTCTCTGTAATTCTCTCCAGGTCCATCCATGCAATCCTATTTCTTTTTGACAGCAATTACAGAATCCAGCCAGTTGTCTGTTAAGTAAACTCCCAGTTCACAATAATAAAATTATGTCATCAGGCAGCTCATCTAAAGAGGGGCTACAATAATGTGCAAGGCACTCTGGGAAATCTACAACTGGAAAAGATGTGTCTTGCACCATATAATCTAGTAGAGGCCAGACTGAGCATAAAGTGAGAAGTGAGTATTCTCATACTCACTTCATAGCACCTGGTAGAGAATTGCATTCAGTGAGTATTTGACTCAACAAATTTGCTATTTGCCTTTAAAATTTTTACTTGTATACAAACTGACAAACACCGCACATTCAAATGTCTAGTCAAATATAATCTGAGTCTTCTCATCATTTGCAGCAACCTGGATGGAATTGGAGAACATCATGCTGAGTGAAATAAGCCAATCAATGAAAGAGAAACACCACATGACCCCACTCATTTGTGGATAATAAAGATCATTATAAACTGATGAACCAAAAGATAGATATAGAGACAGTAAAGCAACAAGCAGATTGTCAAATTACAGCGGGGAGGGGAGGAGGATCTGGGGGAGATAATAGATCAACCGAAGGACTTGTATACATGCATATAAGTACAACCAATGGACATAAAACTCTGGGGTGGGAGGGGATGTTTGGGAGGGAGGGAGGGGGGCAAAAAAAAAAAATCAATAAAATATGTAAAAATAAATAAATAAATAAATAAATGGTTAAAAAAATATATAATCTGAGTCAAATAGCACTTCATTGGCATAATTTAGTGCATTTATAAGAAAGGATTTACAAAAGAACCTAGACTGTTGTCAAGTAAAAAGAAATCATTTTAATATGCCGTTTCATTTCTATTAATTCAACACCGATTCCTATGATGCATGCATTCCTACTTGATTTGACTTGATTCCTATGTATTTATTTTCCAACACGCAGCCACCTTCAGCGAGTTAGTTCAGCTGAACTGTTTATTCTTAAAGAGGACAATGAACGTTGTCCTTAAAGAGTTTTGTCAACTTTAACATTTTCAGGGAGACCTCTGAGGCTCCTTAGCATGGCGGGTTTTCACTGAAATCTTCTGTTTGAAAGATGGCAAAACAGACCAGGATCCTCCCAGGTCTCCTGGTTGCTTGCATTCATATCACAGCACACGGTTGGGTAAGAAGTAGAGACTGAATAATAAGTAGCTCTCCAAACACAGCTGGGCGAGACGGCTTCATTTGTAGAAAGTAAAGCGAATCACGAAAACCTTCCTAATGGTGTGATTTGTTCCAGGGTTCTCTGGGCATTAAGAAGGGAAATATTAGTCCTTGTGCACAGTAATGTTTATGGCATTACAGTTTTCTTCTCCAGCCGTCGTTCCACGGGAGGTGATTTATCGCGCTTGCTGCAGAATGGGGAGCATGAAGATGTCTAATTTCATAAGCAGAGCTGGTGACAGCCTTCTCATTTCCTGCCAAATGGATCAGACCACACTTTTAACCCTAGAGGAGGAAACATGAATAAAAACAGGGTTCGCTTTTAAACTTCCCATCACTTCTCTCAACCCCCAACCAACACAGTGACATCAGAATTGCGTTGTGCAATTGACATGCAGTCTGAGAAGGCGGCAAGCTGCCGGGGCCCTGGAATGCATGGCTGGGAAGCCACGGCAGCCACGAGAGACTTTTAAATGGCTCAGAAAAAGGCCCCAAACAGGAAGGTATGCATGCCTCTGGCCCAATTAAAAATGAAATAAAAAAGAATGTTGCCGCAGATTACAAGAGTTTGGGTTAATAAGCTGGAAACCTCTCATTCTCAGCCAACTTGGATCATCTTAAAGTAACTAACCAGCCAGCCACAAAGGGAACTGTTGAGCTTTTGTACAAAGCAGAATCCCCCGTCAATTAAAACAAGTAAACAGTATTTTCCCAGGAGGGTAGTGTTTAAATAGGTGCTTGGCAAATAAGGCTGCGAAACAGCTATTCTCCCTCCATATTTCATTGGACATGTTATGTTTTTAAGCCTACTTATCCAAGGTTAATGAGGAGGGTGCAAACTTGCAGAAAATATTCTGGAGGGAAATACTAAAATGAAATCTGGAGGAGGCACCTAGGAGGTGGCAACTGTTGTGAAATAAGCAGCAAGTCACAATCCAGCGTCTAACTGAAAAGATTTCTCCCATTGCAAAGCCAACACACACACACACACACACACACACGCACGCACGCACGCACGCACGCACGCACGCACGCACGCACAGCAGTACAACTGAGACTCTGTTTTGATTTTTAAGTTTACCTGGTGGCTGCACATCTTCTTGAACAATACCAGCCCGGTTTATAGCTTGTTCCTTCTCTGAAAAACACAACAGAAAAATTACTTTTTAGTAAGAAAGGGAGACAGTGGTGGTGGAGACTTGTGTTCACATGGGACGACGGGACAACTAGAAACCACTTTGTAGAGTGCTTTTAATTCAGAGATGCCATTACGAAAAGTTTTGATGTTATGGAAGAACAGATCCGATAGCAGAAAGCCTGGGTATTTTCAGGAAAAGCAAGCAAGCCATATTTCAAGAGAAAAGCTCCCAACTAACATCTTTTCTCTGTGTGCTCAGCATTTTTGGACAGGCAACAAAACAACCGAAAAAACAATTCTGAAAGAACTGGTGGGCGGGATGTTATGAGGGGAAGGCTGCTGAATGGAAGGAACGAGTACAATTAACAAAAAACGATGTAGTTTATGTGTCTAAAATGTACTCCACTGAAGGAGTAGGCCCAGAGCTAAATATGCTATGTTTTTGATAGGAAATAGAGCAGAAAATTAATCTTTGGGTGGGTGGCTTCGGTTTGGGTAATTGAAGCTTCCCTAATTGATTGCAGGTGCTGTGCCAATTAGACAGTGCGTGTTCGCTACAGCGGCTTGGCGGAGCTCTTTGGAGGTGTCCAACAGGCTGGGGCCAAGAGAAATTGGGCATTTTATATCTGTGGGCTTCAAGCACCCTGACACATCTTTCTAAGTGGCTTAGAATAAACCCAAGGTCTGTGAAGACAAAGACTTATTATTTTAAGTATCGTGAAAAACAAATGGTGGCTTTTCAGGGGAAAGGCTTGGAGCCAGAGGATGTTTACTACTAAATTACAGTAATTAAATGTTGTAATCAGACCTCCGTTGTAATCAGGCTGACATGTGTTTCTTTAAATCCACATTTAGCTTTTAGTTAATATTAGGCCGTTTTCTTCATTCTGGCCTCTGAGTTCTCATGAAGTTACACAAGCATGAAGGGACAAGAAGCAGGGTTCTGCCCACGCCAATACTCATTGGATTTGCTTCTCCGGCGATGTGGCAGAAAGTCGATCCTTAGTGACCCGCCTGATAGCTTTATCAATGCCAAGTTTTGCTGTGACAAATAAAAAAACTGGGAACTAGGGATGACGTGGATCTTGACATCTAATTCTAAGAGGGACACAGAGAAGACAGAGCATAATGAAGCCTATGACAGACAATGGCCGGCCGTGGTCTCACTGGGCCTCTGGGAAGAATAGCAGGTGAACAGCAACCAAGACCCTCTGGACTGAAATGTGCCAAAGGCTTCTTCCACTTGGAGGGGATGATGATGGAGCCTCTAAGACAGGGGTAGGAAATGTCTGACCTGAGGGCCTATAAGGCCTCCGAAATCATTTGATCTGGCCCTGCCAAGGCATGAAGGGTGAGTTAATTAAATGTTTGACCGAATATAGCAGGCTAAGTTTTAAGTTGATAATTATATATGGCCCGAGAATGATGATATAAATATCCAAATGGCCCCTGACAGAAAAAAAGGTTCCCCACCCCTGCTCTAAGGCGTAAGTCTTTTACTTTAACTCAACAGGTGGTCTCATTTCCTAAGATGTTAAAGTCCTAAAAGACTGGGCCCTATCCGTCCCGTATCAACATGGACGTCTCAAAGTCTGGATGTGCCTCAAACGTGCTCTTAGGAAATGCTAGTGAGTAAAAGACTATACTGTCCTTGATTGTGCCAGGAACAAAAAGATTTAATTTTCACACTAGCCCAGTGGTTCTCAACCTTTCTAATGCCTCGACCCTTTAATACAGTTCCTCATATTGTGGAGACCACAACCATAAAATTATTTTTGTTACTACTTCATAACTGTAATTTTGCTACTGTTAATGAATTGTAATATAAATATGTGTTTTCCGGTGGTCTTAGGCTCTACAGCAGCGGTTCTCAACATGTGGGTCAAGACAAACAAATGGTAGCGACCCACAAGTTGAGAACCGCTACTATAGAGCCTAAGACCACCGGAAAACAAAATATTTACATTACAATTCATAACCACTGCCCTAGCCGGTTTGTCTCAGTGGCCTGAGGACCAACGGATCCTGGGTTTGATTTTGGTCAAGGGCATGTACCTTGGTTGCAGGCTCCTCCCCAGCCCAGACCCTGGTTGGGGCTCCTGCAGGAGGCAACCAATTGATGTGCTTCTCTCACATCAATGTTTCTCTGTCTTTCCCTCTCTCTTCCACTCTCCCTAAAAACCAGTGGAAAAATATCCTCAAGTGAGGATTAACAAAAACAAACAAACAAAAAAAAAGATATATTTTTCTACGCCTAAAAGGTCTATTCTCCAGTATTATGGAAGAGGAAAGTGAGTTTTTTAAAAAACTGATTGCCAGAAAGCAACCTTGCCATACAGATGTAAGGAAATGAGACATCCTGGTATACGGAACACATTCTCTGAGAGGCAGGTACTGCAGAGCCAGAGCAGCGGGCGAAATGCCAACCATCCCAGGAAGTTGACTTTTGAGGCAAGGACAGAATGCCTAACTGTGTCTGAGCTCTTATAATGCGATGGAGAACCAAGTAAAGAGAAAGGAATCCCTGTCCTCACACATTCTTGCTAATTGCTAATGAGGTTGGAGAGGCTGAGGATTTAATTTAAATAGACCATAATCACTTTATAATCCTTGTCCTTATGCAACCACCTCTCACTCTCTCTTTTTTTTTTTAACCGGCTTGAACAGGCAATTTAAACCAATTTGCTGAACCAGTTCCTAACAACTGATAACCGGAATTAGCAGCCTATCTACATCCCTGGTTCTTCAACCTATTAATGTTTTATAAATACTTTTAAGACCAGAGCAGTCTTATATAAATTCACGACACGACACAAAGACACTGTGAATGCGGAATGCGCTAAAGGAAAACAGACTGGTCCCTCAGGATTTAGCAAGTACATCTTGATGAGGCTGACAGTTAGGTTTCTATTGTGTTATCATTAGAGAAATAGCAGGTGTCTATAAACCTCAGGAAAAGGGCAATACAGAAGTTAGGGGTTTTAATGATGGGAACAGATCTGGATAAGCTCATGACTGACTTTTCAGCAATGAGTGTGTGCTTTATCAGGAGTGAAATGATTAAAACGCAAATATGTGATCCTGGGCCTGGGGCTCTGCAATGCCGGCAGGAAAAGGCCCCGTACCAGAGTCTCAGCAAGCCCGACTCTGCCCCCTGGTGTTAAGGCAGAGGTTTGATTTGTAGTTTTAATTGAGGATCCTTATCTCTGGACATAGGGCAGAGGTGAGTTAATAAACTGGTAATGCATGCAGACCAGGAGGTTTTTGTATGGTAGTAAAAGAGATCACCTAATAATTTTTAAGTCTTTGAAAATGAAAACATATCCTTCTATTGAATGGCCATATTGTCCAGGTGTAGATTATGACCTCAGGACCTCCCAACACCATCTCCTCCTGCCAATAAACAGTTAAAATAAAAGCAACGCACAACCTAAGTAATAATAGGACAAATGGCAACACTTGGTTGTAGGCTTAATATTAGATAATAGCATTGTATCGATATTAAATTACCTGGATTGGCTAACTGTATTGTGATTATGTAAGAGAACGTCGTCCTTGTTCGTAGGAAATAGATGTTTATGTTTAGGAATGAGAACTCACATCTTTAACTTACTCTCAAATGGTTCAGCAAAACAATAGTAATAATTCTAATCAGATATTAAGTGTATATATATATATATATATGCATATGTGTCTCTATGTATATATATATATGTATAGATTTGTTATATTTTACATATGGGGGAGAAAGCAAATGTAGCAAAATGTTAACTTATGCTCTGGCCAGGGGGTTAGATAGGTTTGAAGCGTGGACCTGTACACCAAAAGGTTGTGTGCTTGATTCCCAGTCATGTCACATACCTAGGTTGTGAGTTCAATCCCTGGTAGGGGATGTTTCTCAGATCGATGTTTCTCTATCTCCCTCTCCCTTCCTTTCTCTTTAAAAATCAATGAAAAAGGCCAAAACTGGTTTGGCTCAGTGGATAGAGCATCGGCCTACGGACTGAAAGATCCCAGGTTCGATTCCGGTCAAGGGCATGTTGCAGGCACATGAGTGCGGGGTTAGGGAGGTTCCATGTAGGGGGTGTGCAGGAGGCAGCTGATCAATGTTTCTTTCTCATCGATGTTTCTAACTCTCTATCCTTCTCTCTTCCTATCTGTAAAAAATCAATAAAATATATTTTTTTTAAAAATCCACGAGTGAAGATTAAAAAAAAAAAGTAACTGGTAAATCTAGGTGAAGGATAGACAGGGATTTATTGCACAATTCTTAGGTCTTTTCTGCCATTTTTTCCTTCTTTTTTTTTTTTTTTAATAACAAATGCACAACTGCAAAACAAGTGGAAGGCAGTCCAACAACACTGTGACTGTTCCATGATGATTACTTCAAAGTAGCTTTTTTCAAATAGCAAATATAAATTTTAAAAACGACTATCCCAGGCTCCCATCTGCTGCGGTTGCCTGGACACGTTCATCATCCAGATGTACACGGGGCGATCCAGAACCAGATGGGCACTGGCGGCGAGTGTGAGCGGGAGCCCGCAGCCGAGGAGACCAAATGGCCACCAGAAGCACTGGTTCCTCCTAACCCCATAAACACCTCTGCTTCCTCATCAGAGTCCAGCGAATCCCGAGAGCTCTGGAATGCTGGTTAGAGAATAAGACTTGTCTGCCTGGGCATCTTATTGGACTCCACGGTGGAAGAAATAAAAAGCATATTCTAAGCAGCTAGCATATGATAGGGAAAATGCCCTTCCGGTATGATCTGCACACCAAGTGATTTCGTTTAACCGTTTTTTGGACTCTGTACAATATACTGCTAGTGCAGAGCAGCAAGTTGCAGCAAACACAACCGAGAGGTAGGAGAAATGAGGTTCTCGTGGCTCTTACGTGTAACCCACACCCTGCTATTAAACACTCCCTGCTGTGAGGTGAGAAGCGCAGCAGTAAGCAGCAGACAAGGCTGGGGAGTTAGGGTCGTGTCAGGAATATGTTATGTG